ACCTTCCGGAAGGTTTTGCCCAAAAATATCAGACAACCTGTAACTCAAGCTTTGCCACTTGGGGGTCCCCCTATGATCCTCTCACTTGTCCCTTGACATATTCTGCATACATACATGCCTCCCTACACCCTAAATTCAACATTGGAAGATGGAAGATGGGAAAGGAGGAGAGAAAAGAAAGGAGGCCTGGTGGGTGCAAGCTAGGCTTGTCCTAGCCTATCCAAGCCATCAACTCAGTCCCCCCCCCCCCCCCCCCCCCCGCCATTGTCATCGCTGCCATCACCAATGTGTCACCGCCATCACCACTACAGTGTTGTCTCCATCATTATCATTACCATCGTTGTTGCCACAGCTACCATTGTGACACCGCCACCACAACCTTTATCATTTGTGATGGTGATGATAAGAATAAGGCAGTTACAAAAAGATGATTAAAGAGAAGGATAAAATTATAATAATAATAATTTTTAAAATTCAACTCCTTATATTTGTCAAATAGTTTGATTAAATTCAATACTTAAATTTCAATTGATACCAAACATTCTATGAATTAAAAAATTCAGCATTCAGTTTTATCAAACACCACCTGAGTTAGGGTTTTTTCTCAAATTATTTCTCAATGGCCAATTATTTTTCGTCGTCTCTTCTCATTTTCATGTTTTTCTTTTTCTTTTTCCTTCTCTAAGTACTTTACAATCATACACAGTTGATGAGTTATTTATCAAAGTGCAACAATTTTAAAATAAATTTACTAAAATATAATATTTTTGAACTTAGTTACCCAACTATGATATTTTTAAAAAATATAGACAACAATTTCACTTTTGTTAAAAAACGGGGCCAACAATCCTACTTTGCGTNCCCCCCCCCCCCCCCCCACATTGATGGGAAGCCTCTCACACAGACTATAGGACCTCCATGAATGAAAAATGTAGATGACTCTTGACATTTTACAACATTAGTCAGCATTGTAAAAGGAGAAGCTAAAGGAAGAAAACATAGTTTTAGAGAGAGAGAAGTTGAATTTTTACATTTTTTTACCCATTTCACTTGTAATCTGCTGTAAGATTCTTGTAATCCTCATTTATTGCACTTTAATGTCATTTATTTCAAGTGTATTGCAAGTTTAGTTATGTATCTTTGAATCTACCATTGTTGCATTTAAGTTTTTTACTTCAAGCTTTTTAGTTGAGTATTAAATGCACTTATCTTTGTAGTTTCACTTTTCTTTACATTAATATAAATTTTAATCTCCATTTCAACACCATGTCTCTTTACATATTGTATGTCTCTACATTTGATATGAGTAGCTAAGTTTTAAGTTGGCTAATCCGAGGGAGATATCCTCTTAGGTATGCTAAATCCACTTTTTCTCATATCTCCTCATAGTGTAAGGTGGCTTGGTTTGACTAGGTTGAGTGCAGACGTGGTTGTGAGTTCTTGATATATCGTAGACTTTTAACGGGGTATGCTTAAGCCCTCACTTTCATTTTAGTCTCTCACTTCCTATGAATCAATCGAACACCTATTCAGTATTGGAAGAATATTTTGAGTTGATTTGACATTCTTATTGAAATGACCTCTTTGGAATAACCAATCTTGTTTCCATTATATTTCATCAAAAATACAACTCACCAAAACAAAAATTCACAAGATTTGTATACTTTTCATTTTTCATAAAATCACCTTCAACACAATTCACTTTTCTTCCCTGAGGAGACGACCTTGGAATACACATTTCAAATAAAACATGACACTCAAAAGTCTCTCTACGCTTGGGGAACACTTTTGCACACACACACACACACACATTTTTTCGTTTCTTGCATGATATCCGAGGAAAAATGACACTCACCTAACCTTATAAGCCACATACATATTACTGGAATCATAGTCGAAGATTAGGAACAACAAAATAAGACCAAGAATATAGCATCAAGTTTTCTATTTTCTTCTTCAATCCTCAAATGCTTTTGTATTTGGTCTACATTGAAATCTTTTGTCATAGCAGAAGTTTCTTCCTATAACCATTCCAATTAGGAGGAAGTTTGGCAATAATTGCCCCACTTGAATTGACTCAAGAACTGTAACTTTAACGTCACAGAGTCTATTAACTAAAGCTTGTAATTCATGCACTTGATCTATGATGGGTATGTTATCAACCATCTTAAACCCAAAATATTTCATAATTAGAAATTTAATCGTACCTTGCCTTTCCAACATATATTTTTGTTCCAATGCATTCTAGATTTTTTGTGGAAACTTCAATTATACATATAGATCATACAATCGATCGAATAGTGTGTTCAGAATATGGCCTCAATAGACAAATGCATCTTTTTCGCTTCTGTCGTTTTTCTTAACCTGATCACTGTCTTTTGTTTTTCCTTCAGGAATAGGTTGCATCTTTGGATCCAATATATAAGCAATCTTCAACACAATGAGAAGAAACATCATCTTCTCATTCAAGTGAGTGAAATCCGTTCCATCAGAACGATCCAATTTCACAAAGTTTTGATTGATGACTTTGAAAGCAACCCTTGATTCCGTAGCCATTGCAAATATTTCTTTAAAATTGTTGAGAAATTACTTCGAATAGATATACAATAGAACAGAATCAAGGCTTTCAGGCACATAAGATCTCTTTTGTGATATTTGTCCCCACCTCAAAGAGTTTGCTAGAGGATTCTTAACAAATCAATTCTAGGATACAACAAAACCTTTGGGTGAAGAACACAATTAGCAATATTAAAGAACTTCCAAAAAAATCTTCTTGAATAGTTTTTATTCTGATAGAAAAAGGAGGAAAGAGAGATGAGTTATATAAGACTCAAGTATGAATGTGAATGAAGTCTACGGTCCTATTATAGACTTTTTAGTGTCCTTTCCCAAAAGTCACAGCCTTCAAACTGGTGTATTTTCATTAAAATACATTACCCTTCTAAAGAGGTGTCTTTTGGTTCATAGTCATGATCCTTTTAAAAAGATGCATTTTATCCAATGGTCACATTTCTTTAATAATATTTTTTTCTAATGGTCAAAACTATTCAAATAATAACATTTCCTAATAATTATAATTATTCAAAATAAATCAATTATTCAATCAAATAATAAATAAAGTATCAACACTAGCTACAAATCAAGAAGTGTCGCATCAATTGTCAGATTGATTCAATTTGATGCTGATTTGATTCATTCACCCACCCAACACTCAACGAGTCAATCACCTAATCTCTTCTTCATGTCCATTCATGAAATAGAATGGACGTTTTTGACTAATTCTAAGTTGATTTTGTTATAATAACATGTTTTCGATTTTTTTTTTTGGTTCCTCTGTTTGATTCTTTTTTTAGATGCTTAGAGTTTTGTTATTTGTTGTTTCTTTAATGAATCTGCCTTTTTCGACACAGCATGCATACATGTAGTAGTTCTAAAACATCTTTGAATTTTTCCCAAATATATTTGTATGCTTATGTGAGTATGTTTGTTTATAAATATTAATTTTATTTGATTTGATCAGTTGTGGTGTGTATGGGGCTGTTGTGGTGTGTATTTGCATCGAGAAAATTTTTGTTCAAATTATTTGATTATGATATATTAATATTCATCGACATATTTTAGTTGTTATTCTCTCTCAAGTCTATTTGATTTTTGGTTTTTGTTTGATCTAATATTCATTAAACATATTATTATGAATCAAAGTCACAAGCAAAATAAAACGGAAAGAAATAGAAAAACATAATACGCAATATTTACGTGGTTCGGCTCAACAAGCAAGCCTATGTCTACCAACGAAATTTAACGGCAAGATTTCATTATTCAAAAGTTGGAGATTATAAAATTCTTTAACCAAAAAAACAAGAAAATGTTGACCCACTCTATTCCAATATTATAATATTTATTGGATTAATAAAATAGAGCAAACAAATATTTCTTACTTGAAGAGAATTGACGACGTAACTAATCTTTGAAGTCGATGAAGACGTCCAAAAAATTAGCAAGCCGCTGGAGAGGCTAATCACTATATCAATGCTTATGCCCTTCTAAATTCAAGTCCCCACAAAAGTCAAAAAACTTCTTGAATCAATAACACATATTATAATTATTATTTTATTATATTACTAGTCTGATCAATTATTTAAGGGTTGAATCAAGAACTCATTGGCTCAATCCCTTTTTCGGGTTAACGTTGGGTCGGATTTTAAGAGTATTTTCAATTTTGGATCCAATAATTTATCTTTTTTCCCATGTAAGTTAGTTATGTAATTTCATTGAATTTACCAAAGTCAACTGTCTGAAGTCTTCTGATAATCTCTATATATCTTCCGTCCGCCCTGTTGTTTCTCATCTCTAGGTACAGAAATGTGGATCATATCTAATTGGTAAGAAAGTTATATTTCCCAGATCTTCTTCTTATTTACTTTCCAATTCCCTTTCTTTTTCTTGGTTCAAGCACGTATTGGGATTTCTCACGATTTAAATCCACTAACAAACACACACAATCGAAGAACAAATCAAGAATATAAAGCAATAAGAAACAAGAAAGAACAAGACACAGATTTTACGTGGTTCGGCAATTTGCCTACGTCCACGAAGCTGCAGGGATTTCACTATTGAGAGAGTTGAATACAGAGAGCGGCTGTTCATCCACAATTAACCCTAATCACCAAAACAACAGGGTTTATATGTCCTGCGCACTGGGCTGTAACGGGCCCAAAAAAAATTTCCTCGGGGGCGTTGCCCCCGAACCCCCACGAGGCTTGTCCATGAGCGCTACGGCTTGGGCCTATCGGCCCAAGCCTTCGTTCCATGGACTAAGCCTCAGAAAAATTTCCATTAAAAACCACACAACATTATTTCGGGTCGGGTCATCATCCGGATCACATATACAAACTAGACTCCATAAAAAAAAACCAACAGCACGGTAGCTATAGACTTTTTAGTTTTCACATTTTTCCTTCGAAGGCAATTCATTTTTGTGTCTGTGTGATAATCTTGCAGTTCAATTAATGGCGGAATTTACCGGTCACCCCTTGTACAGCTGCAGCAAATGCCGGAACCCTGTTGCGCTGCGCGACGACCTTCTTTCTAAAACATTTCGGGTGATTATAAACCTTCATCATATCTTCTATAAACTATGATCTAATCTCTGTTTTGATATGGCAGTGAAAAGTCAGTTCAACAAGTTTTCTTGCATATTTCCTTGCCAGCAGCCTTCCTTTTGCCTTTTTTCTTCCTTTTTTTTTCAGTTGTGAACTTTTTATGATGAGGATAGAGACTCAGATGTTTGTCCAAACATTTTCTATTTGTTTCTGACTTTGATATGTAGGCAAGATCGGGGCAGGCCTATATGTTCAGGCAGGCGATGAACATTATGGTGGGGCAAAAAGAAGACAGACAACTTCTAACTGGTCATTTCACCATTGCTGGCATCTATTGCAGCAATTGTGGAGAGGAATTGGGTTGGAAATATTTTCGAGCTTATGATCCAAAACAGAAGCATAAGGAAGGGAGGTTCATAATTGAGAAATCGAAGATTCTTAAGGAATATTGATCAAAAACTGGTAAGGGATAGAAGTTTTACTCATCCAAGCGATGATACAAGTATGTTGTTCCATATCAGACATTGTGTGTTGGATGCTAATAATATCTCTGTAAGATATTGGATGTTAACGAGTTTTCTATAACATCAGGTAAAAACTGTCGTTGTGAAGTCATGCTTGACATTTCTACAGCAGTGTCAAGCGATGAGATACTATTGAGAGTTTGAATGGCTGGATTGACAATGATTATCCTATTCAGAGTTGATTAGCATAGATGCCTACGACCAAAAAAATAAAATAGTATAGATGCATATATGTCCAAATTAGCATCGCTTCGAGTGGCTATTGAGGCCAGAAAAAAAGTTCAAACACCAACCCTACGTCCGTACGTTATTGATGAATTTGAAATTCCGGAGAAATCTTGGTGTTTCAACACCGAGTGTAATGACCGCATGTAATTGGCGATATGAGCAACCTTGACAGGCCCGGCCCAGATCAGGTCCATTTCAGAGGCCCAATTTAAAAATACAGATTAAGTCGAGGTAGTTGAGGGTTGCGATATGTACCTTAATTTTTTTTCTAAGATGGAGATCTCACGTGTGTCATTAGTAGACTGAATTTTCTAAGACGATAGGTTTAACCCTTAGTGCCTTGCATCTCTGGTACCTAATCTTTATGTTTGCTTGTGTTAAATCTTTGCTTCATCCTTAATTAATTTTGCATAAACTCACTTTTGTGCATCATCACATCTTAACAATAATGTACTGTTCGAATGCCTTTATTTTTGGTATGAAATACTTATAATTCCCTGCGAGATTTATAGAACTAGATCTTCATCTTTTATTTTTAAATCAATCCAATTTATTATTTTCAAAATCATATTTTTTGGTTGACTACACTGACATTAGAAATCAACTGAAATAATTATAAATTGTATAAATATAAGTATTCAATGAGCATGAACATATTTAGATCTCAAAGTTAAAGAGTCAATTTTTCAAATGATAGTTTCTTTTAATCTTTCTGCCCTCATTCTTGATTTTTTTTTAAAAAATTATTTCTTCTTTCTTTACCCACTTCCTCAATTCCTTCGGATATTTGTGATACGAACTCCGATTTCACCGAATATATTTACTACTTCTTAACCATCTATTCTTGAGTGTACCTATTTGGGATCAAGTTGTGCTCACCTTGGGAGTAACGCAATAAGAGGGCTCTGGAGGACTCCGTTGAAGATTCCACTAAAATCCTTGGGCTTGAGCTTCCCGATATTGATTGAGATATGCAATGGAGAAATCAACAATTTGCCTGGGGGATGAATATATTGCTCGAGACCTGCTCAATTTCTATTATACCAAGCTAAAACTTATACCAAATATACCTCCTTAGAATCTAAGGAGGCTTAGAAGATAATTGCGTAGCAGGATTCAGTAACCATTGGTAGAATGAAGGTTGGTTCCTCAGGCAACGTAATCAAGGAATCTTATGTCGAAGGAAAATTTGAGAATGGGTATCAGAGTCCATGTTGGTTTCTACCAATTTCTAATACATTGGATAAAAACAGTTTGGAGGTTGACACCTACAAAAGTGGGGAAGTGGGAAAGGCGGAGTCCAAATTAGTTGTTGAAGTCTACGTGTTGGGTTTTGATTGGATATATCATTGTCTTTGATTTTTTTAAATCAAAATTCTTAGAATTAAGCATTGGTAGAGGGAAGGCTTCTCCACCCCACTTATTATAACTGAGGTAAAAAATATTTTCCAAAAAATGAATATTATAGCACTCCAAGAAAAAGCAAGAAATATATAAAACAGAATAAGCCTCAAACTCATAAGAAGCAAACAATCAAAAGAGATGTCAGTCAAATTGAATGTTATAACTGTCTGTAAAAAAGGACATTACAAGACTCGATGTCCAATAAAATCAAAGTTAAAACAATTAAACTTATCTCTAAAAGACATTAGATAAAATGTTAGCAATTTTTAAGTTAAGCAACTCAAGTACAAATGAAGAAAGTTCAGAAAAACATATCCATTTAGAAGTTTCTTCTGACTACAAATCAATTCATATAAATTCTAGTGATCCAGCCATTAAATTAGGATGTCAAGATTATTATTGTAAAACAATTAATGTTTTAGCAAAACACACCGAGGAAGAAAACATCCCCATTGATCTCCTCAGCAAAATCGAAGATCCAGAGTTAAAAATAGAATATATTAAAAAACTCAAAAATCTATTTCTCAAACAAGACTTTAAGGAATCTTTTAGTGAAAAACAGCTAATAAGTTTTAACAAAACCATAGAAAGGTTTAAGGTTCAGTAAAGATAAATAAAAAGAAGTTACTCTGCAAGACCTTCAAGCTGAAGTTAATAAGTTAAAACAATAAATTAAAGAGCTAAACTAATAGATAAAAAGATGGAAGAAGCAATAAAATTTCTCCAAACTCATAAACAAATTTAGTACAGCAAAAAATCCAACTTCTAGTGCATCTGAAACCAGTTCGGATGATTCAAAGCCTAACAGAACATGTCCTCAGTGGATGCCCATAACCTCCACCTCTAATGTGGAAAACCGGGTTGTAACAAAGCTGTCATCGCCAGATAAGTGTTCACAAACAGTTAATGAAGACAATTTGCCCCTTCCTTTCTCTTGCACATCACCTGCAACAACAGTCATACCAACCCCTTTATCAGCCCTTTTTCCAATCCTATTCATTCCTCTTCCAACCCCCAGTCATGTTTCTTCCACTTCCACTCATGCCCTGCACAACACCATCACCATTAATAGCCCCACTACCAACCCCAGTCATGCCCCTTCTAACCCCACCTATGCCCTGCACAACACCATCAACATCCCCTCTTTCAACCCCACCTCTGGCCTGCACAACATCTTCAACAGTTTCTTCAGATTTTAGCAGTCTAATGGGGCATGTCCTCTGGTTCTTAATGGAATGTTGTCTGATAGCATTTTTAATTTCTTCAAATGTACTGAATAGCATATCCAATCTAAATTGTGGGTCTTCATTGTCTGTTTCTGGTCTGAATTCTTTGAACTTGGGCCTTTTTATTTTTTATTCTCATCATCTGATGAACTACAAAAGCTTACAAGGTCTGATGCACAATCTGAGTCACTAAGTAGAATGTCACAGTTCTCATTTGTTCTTGATGTTTTGTTCACCTCCTTCAAACCAGTACATTCAACTTCACGGTCAATATGAGTATCATATAACATGTCATCCTCATCAGACATTTCATACTCACTATCAACTAGGTGCTCATAAACACTTGATTCAGACTCATTATCAGACACATTATTAGACATAATCTTCACAGTATCCATTTCAATTAACGACATCATGTCTGGATCACAACCATCTATGTAATCTGTTGTACCCCCAATGTATATTTTTGTTAGTTCATACTTAATTTCACCACCATGGTGAACCTCTATCGAAAAAAAGTGAGGAATCAGGTCCTGTACCAATCATTGAACAATGGGGAAAAAATAGTTTATTTCTCATTGAACAAAAGAAACATTTTTATATTCAACATAAATATATATTATGCATGCACGGCCATTGAAGGCAAACTACTAAACAATCCTTTTGAGAAAACCAAAGATTAAAAAATGGAAACATGTACAAAAGGATTTCGGCAATCAAAAAACAAAAGTATAAAAAAAACCTAATCAATTTCAGAGTAATGAACATACTGCAGCAAGGGTTATCAACAAATCCATTGCCTTTTTTCTTCCTTATGTAGCGCATCATCTCGATTGTTGTCGTTTTGGATGAAAATCATGAAATTCATACAGATCTTGCTCTACCGCGTTCGAAACGTTGTTGCCTTTCTTTTACGGCCTCTCCTCTACATATATTTGCCCCAAATGCTATGTTAAAATGTTTCGAATTTGTCGCAAACACGTGATTCAGGCATGGACAAGTGAGTTGCTTTGACAAATATACCCTTCAAAACGAGCATGTGAGATGCACATGTTTGAGATCTATTAAAAAAATGAAACCGAGTCAGCTGTGGATAGGCTTCACAATTCTACACACAGACTCCTAAAAATCGATACGACCTGACACACGGATTTAACGGATTTGAGTATAGTCTTAATAAATTTGAGTGGTTAACGGGTTAACTCAGTTGACCCATAAAATAAATGAACCGATTTCGTGTTTAATTCATAAACTCATTTTAACTCGTTTAACAGTCAACAGTAGTACTATAAATTTTTTTAAAAGAAATTAAGTTTCTTAGCTTCTGTCTCATTTTACACCTTTTATATCTTAGACTTATCCAAATTTAATAATTATTTAATGTTTATTTTTTGTCTTTATATTTTTACTTAACTATGATTTGTTGTTATAGTAAATAAGTCAAACATGTGTAATGTGTAACAAGTTAATGAATTTTCGTCTGAAGTTGAAATATTATAACTTATTCTTTTATTTAGCGAGTGAAACACATGTTATATCAGATAATCCGTTTAATAAACGACTCATGTATGAGTGTGATAATTGAACTCATTTATATAAAAGAATAGGGTATGGATGAAGAATTTTTTGACATAAGCTCGTTCCAATCGATACGAAATCGTTCCACTTGACCCGATTATCAAGCCTGGAGACCATTTAAAACCAAATTCGAAGTGTTAGGGACTAAAGTGTTACAATTGATACATTTTTGTACTAACACAAAATATAAACATTGGGACCTCTATTGTATTTGGTCCTTATCTATAATATCTAAACCCTTTAAATCTAAAATTATACCCAAAAAAATAATTTTAGGGTAAAATGTAATTTTAATGTCTAAAGTATATATTTAGTGTCTATTTAATTTTCAATCTTTAAATTATATTTATTTAATTCCTAAAGTTTTTAATTTGTCCGTAAGTGGTTCCATCCCAAATGTCCATAAAAAAATTATGGTAGTTCTAGTCACACGCTAATTACATAATTCCTAATATTGTATTTATTTAATCCTTAAAATTTTTAATTTAAGTTTGTTTAGTTTTTTAAAATTTTAATTTGTGTCTGTTTGATTCCACGCAATTAACGTTAATGATTTTTTGGCCAAATGAACACAGCACACGTAAGTTGATCACCTTCGCCTTGCCTCGCCTGTCGTCTTTATGCATTTCAGTACATAACCATTAACGAGTTTGGTGAGCATTGCGCTCTGAACGCTCTCTCTCTCTCTCTCGCTCTCTCTCACAAACACATACATTAAGCTGAAGGTCAGCTTTTTTTTTTCTTGGAACATCCTTATCTTTTTCTCATTTGATTCAACTGAACAGCGATTACGGATTGTTTTTGTTTCATTGATATGTTGAGTAAATGTTTCTCTCGATAAAGTCTGGAATTTTTAGGGTTTTCTTTTTTATTTTATTGTTTAATGTGATTGGTTTTTTTTTCTCCTCTCTCTCTCTTGACCAGCTAACGCCATCCCCTTCCTCCTCTCCCAACGACTAACAAAACGACCACAATACCGCCAGCGCAACCCAATGGCGCTCTTTCTATCCTTTCGTATCTCTCTCTCCTTCTTCATCTGCTACCGCCATTAAGACATCATACAGACCCAAACCCGAAGACCCTTTCATCATATCCCACACTCCACAGCCACCACCAACGCCTCACTGCCGCAACCACCTCACCGCCACCACCTGTTTCCTCCTCTCCCCTCCCCCACCAGCCCCAGCCCCTTCATCTAACCCATCCCACACGCAATGGCGCACCAATTGTTTGTCCAAATTCCTGAAAGAACTTTATGTCAACAGCTCACGGAATTTGGGTATGGCTTTTGTCAAATGGTGGGGCATCACTGGAAATAGGTTTTTTTTTGCATCCACAGATCCGAAATCCCTTATGGATTTTTCTTTGAAGCATCGACATATGCATATCAAGTATGATGTGCGCTTTGTATCTACTCTTTTTTTGGCACAGATTCATGCTTCATATTTATTTGTTCCATCTCTCTCTCTCTCTCTCTCTCCTTTCAATAGCACAGATGATTTTATTTTTTTGCTTAAATATTGTGAATTTAATTATGTTCTGTTTTGTTACATGTGGTGGATTGGGAATTTGGTGATTGAGTTTATAATTATGGTGTGTTATTGACTATTGAGTTGAATAGTGGTAGTGGCTATGAATTCATGAGTTTTATAAATGAACAATCTTTTAGTGTTTTTTTTTCCAGAGGTATTTGTATATATGATTTTGTTTTGGGGACTTTTTTTTGTACATTTTTATGACAGTACATTTCGGGTCATTCTTTTTGAATCTAGGCAATTTCTTGTGATTTTTTTGTTTGTTATATTAGTGCCTTCAGGCAATTGCTAGTATTTGATGTCATACAAAATTTAATCTTTTTTGAACAGTTATTCACTCCATGGTTGAGCTGATAGATTGTTTGATTTGTAGGCCATAAACCCCAAACCTGACCAACGTTTTGCTTATAATTGCTCTTGTTGTCGTTGTAGTCAGTGAGTCATTCCACAGAAAAAGGCTGAAAAGATCACATATTGCTTCTTTGCTGTTCGATAGCACAAGAAACAGGCATATCAAAAAAGGAACTTGACAAGAAGATGCAATGGGAGCCTCCAGTGGACCAAAGATCTCTGGGTTGCAGAAGCAAGTGCTAGCTCTATATAGAGGATTTTTGAGAGTTGCACATTCGAAGTCCCTCGAAGACAGACGCCAGATTGAATCGATTGTTTCAGCTGAGTTCCGCCGCAATTCCAATCTTATTGATCGCAAGAATTTCATCTACATTGAGTACTTGCTGCGCCGTGGTAAGAAACAACTTGATCAGCTCAAGAGCCCCGATATTGTTGGATTATCGTCTTTGAATGTTGAATTTCCTCAAACCAAAAAATCTTAAGCCTTGAAATTTCGAATGAAATGATTCTTTATCAGTTTTCCTGAGTTGATATTCATTTGGTCCTACATGTTAGTTGATTATTTAGAGAAATGTGTCATAAATATCAAATGTCCAGAATTGAAAATATCAACCTTTTATTTATATGTTTTGATGGGAATCAATGAACTATTTATTTTTATGCTTCTGGATCAGTCTATTTTTTTGATTATTAAGGTTATCGTATGACAGACCAATACATTAAGAAAAAGGCTTACATCAGTTTTATCTCTTTACCTTACTGTCGGATGAAGATTGGTCACATTCCTGATGCTGTTGGAAAAAGTACAGTATGTAATTAGAATCAGATGATTCAGAGTGATGGTGTATAATCATAATAGCTACCTTCAGTGCCTTGGATTTATCACAGGAGAGAAAAAATTAGGTTTTTGAATATAGGCTTAGGTTAGGCTGGAGTGTGGTTATGCTTCGAAGTGTTTGAGGGATTGCCAGAATCAAATAGGTTAACTAGAATCAGAGATGCTTCAGCGTGACTGTTTATCTTCACAGTAGCTGCTTTCAATGCCTTGAATTTATCGAAAGGAGGCAAACAGTTAGGCTTGTAAACATAGAATTAGGTGAGATTAATTTTTCTTCCAATTATTCTTAACTAGCTTTTCAATTTTGTTAATTGTAAATTTCTTTTGGGCTGGTTTATGAGTGGCGAGTGACAGACACTTAGGCTATTATAGCTTGAGAAATGGGGAAGGTAAATCCCAATTATGAATACTAAACTTGAGGAAAATATCACCAAGTTCAATGTGCCTATGAAAAAGGAGCAAAGATTGACCATTTTTGGAATGGATAGAGTTTAAGTAAGATGTAAGTAGAGTGTTTTTGGCAAATAGGATGAACCATGTATATCTCTGATTTTCTATTCTTCTTCATATTCTTGACAAGTTCTTTTGTATTTCAAATCTTATCATTTCTTCCACAGGCAACAAAACACCAAAGGTTGAAAGCATTTTGAACACCCCAAAAGCAAGACTAAAGTTCATGCTCTTTGTCACCTCATTCGTTATTCCTTCAAGTCTGAAGGTGTTAGTCCCTATGGGTTTAGGACCTTATGTTTGGTGCTTAAAGCCTACCCTTGGTGGAGGGTATTGAAGTGCCCAAACTGAAAGCAAAATTGTTTCCTAACATGAGTTGTGAAAGAGAGGAAAAAAGAAGAGAAGGGGGGGGGGGGGGG